TGGCGGGTGCCTGTAGTCCCAGCTACTTGGGAGGCGGAGGCAGGAGAATCGCTTGAACCCAGGAGTTAGAGGTTGCTGTGAGCTGTGATGTCACAGCACTCTACCCAGGGCAACAGCTTGAGGCTCTGTCTCAAAAAAACAAAAAAACAAAAAACACCTGTTCCTGCAGATATGCTGATAGCCTTCCTCCTCATTGATTTTTATTAATGGTTTATGGGAAGTCATTGCCTCTTGGTTGGTACAAGTTGCTTGTCCTGATAGGCACATATTTTGATATTTATTTTATCCTTTTATCTTTGCAGTAACTTGGAATGTCTTGACATTTTAAAAGCCAAACCCCTGTCTAAAATTATCAAACTATCCTTTGCTGGCATTAAATTCTCCAGCCAGTTGAGGCAGGAAAATTGCTTGAGCCCATGAGTTTGAATTCAGCCTCGACAATGTAGCAAGATCCAGCCTCTTAAAAAAGAAAGAAAGAAAGAACATTAATAAGTGTTCTAGTTTTGTTTTATTTTTAAGATTCTATCTTACTATATTACCCAGACTGGTCTTGAACTCCTGGGCTCAAGCAATTATTTTGTTTCAGCCTCCCCAGTAGCTGGACTATCAGTTTATACCACTGAACCTGGCAAATTTCCCAGCTTTAAATCCTTCACCTTCCTTTTGCTTTAAGTTGCTTTGTCTCACTCATGTTAGAATCTGTGAGTATGCCTTTCTCATAACAATCTTGCACCACATAAAAGCTTCATTTTCTTGCTTTCCTAATTCAACAAGTGTAAAGAAAAGGAGTTGCATTTCTAATATGAAGTAAAAAGGTATTTTGCAAAAAGTACAAGGTTTTCATGCCTAATGGTCCACACCATTCAAAATGGACTTCACTATTCATGAAGTCCAGCAAAAACGTCATGAATTTGGACAGCACCTGTGGCTCAAAGGAGTAGGGCACTGGCCCCATATACCAGAGTTGGTGCATTCAAGTCCAGCCCCAGCCAAAAACTGCACAGAAAACAAACAAACAAACAGACAAAAAAAACTTCATGAATTTTCCTTCCCTCCCTCCCTCCCTCCTTCCTTCCTTGAAGCTTCCTTTCCTTTTCTTAATGGTCCTTACACATTGGATTCTTTTTTTTTTTTTCTTTTAGAGACAGAGTCTCACTTTGTCATCCTTGGTAAAGTGTGGTGGCGTCACAGCTCACAGCAACCTCCAGCTCTTGGGCTTAGGCAATTCTCTTGGCTCAGCCTCCCGAGTACCTGGGACTACAGGCGCCCGCCACAACGCCTGGCTATTTTTTGTTGCAGTTTGGCCAGGGCTGGGTTCGAACCCACCACCCTCCATATATGGGGCCGGCACCCTCCTCACTGAGCCACAGGCACCGCCACACATTGGATTATTTTTATCTTGAAATGGCTGGCAACCACAACTACAGACTTCAATCTACAGTATGTATCAAGCAATTCAACTTTTTCTTATAATGCCATGACTCTTTGGTGCTTATTGGGAACACTTCCAACATCACTACTGGTACTTCGTATGGGACCCATGGTGTTATTCAAGGTTCCCAGTATTGCACTGAAAATGATGAAAAATGCCCAAGGACTGTGAGATAACCCTCTTCCCCACCATTTTTTAAAAAGATGATATTTGCTATGTTGCCCAGGCCAGAGTACAGTCAATATTCATAGGCATGATTATATTCATAGCAGTCTTAAACTCCTGGTCTCAAGCCA